TGGGCGATGTTGTCGGGGAACTTGGACAGATCGCCTTCCCGCCACACGGGCAGCGTGATCCTGAGGGCCTCGCCCTGCACGGAGCGGCAGAGCGCGTCCTTGGAGATCAGGCCGTCGTCCGCCCTCAGCAGCGCCACCTGCGGGGCGTTCAGGAAGCGCTTGTGCGAGGTCACCTTCTCCAGGTAGGTGAACCCGCTGCACAGCGCACACGCAGAGCCGTCCTTACAAAAACAAAACACGGCAGAAATATTAACCCTGAATGGTCTCGATACCCCCCCCCAAGGGGGGTAACGAATCATTTCTCCGGCGGCCTTCTTGAAGGACTGGGGTTGCACCGATAGGGGTCCGCGGCACCCGTCGCAAAACAACGACCGCGACAGCAACGACTATACGTTTGCGACTACGACTACGGGGTAAGAGGAGGAGGAGGAGGAGGAAGAGGAGGAGAAGGAGGAGACAGGATGAGGTTTTCGAACCAGTCCTATTCAGCGCCGAGAGAAGCAAACCTAACGACCTTCAGCGGTTAACGTTTAAACCTTCCCACGACTTCCTTGGATCGGCGCTGGACCCCTCCTTGGCGCGCACAGCGCCACCAGGGCGGACCCCAGCGCAGACCCAAGACATCTGAGCGGAGCTCCGCACACGTATTTGTGTATGCTAGCGTCTCGTCTCCCTCGAGGTCCTGACCGAGGTCGTCGGAGATTGCCTTCAGCATCCCCGCCAGAGGCGCGAAGCCGCCAGCCTGGTAGAACGTGCACAGCTGCAGCGGCCGCACGCACACCCTGCTCGGCTCCTCCTGCATCTTGAGCAGCAGGTCGAAGGCGCTGCTCGCCCACCGCATGGCGGCCACCGGGTCCGCGGGCCTGTCGTGCGCGACGACCGCCTTGCTCACCTCCGCGAGCGCGCGGCTCAGCCCGACGCTGCCAGGGCAGGCTTTCAGCTGCCTCGGAGGGGCAATTGCAAACGCATCTGTTGCTCCCATCGTACTTAGGGACCACATCCCGGAAGTCAATTCGAGCACCCAGGGCCCGACACGTGAAAACCCTAAACATTTCGGTGCTTCCCTGGTGTTCGAAGTTCTTTCTCGTGATCAAGGCTGAAGTAGGTTGGAACATCGTAAATGTAAACATCAGCTTTCCGAGGTCAACGCGGATTTCTTCAATCGGCGCTGTACCCCCCCCCCCTCCCTGGCGCGCGCAGGCGCGCCAGGGGCGGCGTCGGAGGCGCCGCCAAGAAGGGCGGTGCGGAGCCGACCACCAAGAAGTCCGCGCGGACCTCCGAATGCGGTCGTGTCTACGCAGCGCTCTTCGCTTATACTCGGTGCCTCTCGGTCTTCGCGTGCAGCTGCTTCGAGGCGGCGATGAGGAGGTGCCGCAGCGAGAGCGCCGACAGCCGCACGCACTGCTTCGCGACGCGCTGCAGCGTCGCGGCCTCTGGGCTCGCCTCCGCGGCCGCAGCTTCGGCCTCAGTCCCGGCGGGGCGCCCGACGCCCGCACTTGAGGCAGCGAGGGCGCCGCCGTCGGCGTTCGCGGCAGGCCCGGCCGCGCCCGCCGCGTCCGCCGGACTCTTCGGCACCGGCTGGTCGCTGAACGCGATCCTCTATAGAAGAAGGGGGAACGCCATAAACAGAAACTTTTGGCGCTCCGCGCGGCTTTCTTGGCTCCGCGCCAGGGGCGGCGCCGGAGGCGCCGCTGGGGGGTCCCAGCGCGGATCCGAGAAATCCACGCGGAGCGCCACAAGTTTACGTTTACGTTATGGCGTTTCTTCTTTTTCGCATCCTCGCGAGCTCAGTGTAGGTCTCGGTGGAGCGCTTCGGCGGGCTGTCCTGGCCGCGCGGCCGCCACGCCTCCAGCGCCAGGATGGCGGGGGCGACGTCCATCAATAGCCGCACGTGGTCCCCGATGCCCTCCAGGTGCTGCACCGAGGGCGCCTCGCGGCAGAGCGCGGCGAGACCCTCCAGCGCCATGCACAGGCTGCTGAGCGACCTCGGGGACCAGCCATAACTGGGGAAGCTGTGGTCCTTACCCCCCTTGGGGGAACCCATCGCATCGACGTTCTCTCGAGAGGGGTGTCGAACTCAATGGGTCCCCCAGGTTATGTTGCTCCCATCGTACTTAAGGACCACATCCCAGAAATACTTTCGAGCACCCGGCAAAGTGTCGAAACAGTGTCGAACGAGTGTCTCCCAGGGCCCGACACGTGAAAACCCTCGAGTGTTTGTCGCACTTCCTTGGTGCTCGAAGCTCTTTCTGGTGCACCAGGTCAAGGGGGGTAAGGACCACAGCTCCCCCAGTTGTGGCTGGCCTGCCTCAGGGACGCCCACACCTCCGGGGGGTCCAGGCCCGCCAGGGCCTCCCAGGGGCCCCGGGGGCCGCGCAGCCGCGCGAGGAAGCCCCGGGCGGGGCCGAGGTGCGCCCGGAGCATGTCGCGGAGCACGCCGAGGGCCATGGCGTTTCCTCTCTCTTTTTTTTTGGTGGCGCCTCCCTCCTCCCTCCTCCCTCCTCCCTCCTCCCCTCCCTCCATACCTTTGGCAGGTGGACCTCTCAAGCTCTCCGCCGCCTCTGGCGGTGTGCGCTGCGAGTGGCTCTGCTGGGTTCCTCCTGCCTGCTCGCAGCGCACACCGCCGGAGGCGGCGGAGGGCTTGAGGGATCCACCTACCAAAAGTCTTTTCGGCTCTTGCGGATCGACGATGGTCGACGCTGAATCGACGCTGCCAGAAGCCAGGTCCACGCCGATCGACGCTAACCGACGACGCTGAATCGACGCCATCTCCTCGACTCCCAGACGCTAATCGACGACGCTGAGTCGACGCGAGAGACAGAATTGCGAGGGGACACGAGGCTCCCGTGCTTTGCTACCGAGTCCTCTGGCCCCTCGATGATGATGATGATGATGATGATGATGATGATGATGATGATGATAATGATGATGATGATGATGAGGATGAGGATGAGGATGAGGGTGGTGATGGTTATGGTGATGATGCTGACGATGGTGATGATGACGCTGACGATGGTGATGATGATAATGCTGCTGATGGTGATGATGATGCTGATGATGATAATGATCATGATCACGATGATGATGACGCTGACGATGGATATGATGATAATGATGATGATGATGATGATGATGATGATGATACTGATTATGATGATGATGCTGATGATGATGATGATAATGATGATAATGATGATGGTGGTGATGGTGGTGATGGTGATGGTGATGGTGATGGTGATGATGATGATGATGATGATGATGATGATGATGATGGTGATGGTGATGGTGATGGTGATGGTGATGGTGATGGTGTGCTGCTGCTGCTGCTGCTGCTGATGATGAGATGATGACGATGATGATGATGATGATGATGATGCTGATGATGATGATGATGATGATGATGATGATGATGATGATGGATGATGATGATGATGACGCGATCGCGTCCTGGTCCCCCGGGGGCTGAAGAGGCTGCTCATGGGGTGCTGCTGCCCCTCCAGGGAGCACACGTGGTACGGCAGGCAGGGCAGCTCGTGGAGCCGCCGCACGAGCAGCAGCCCGCCCGCCTCCAGGAACGCGGTGGCCACCTCGGAGGAAGAAAAAAACTGCGTAAACATAACTGAAGGGACCCTGGGACACACAAATAAATACACACAAATAGCAGGATTCCCAATGTTTTCCTATATTTTCTATGTTTTTGTCTTCCCCACCACTTCCCATATTTTCCCATATTTTCCTGGGGATCGAGGATTAATTGTGTCTGTATGTTTTTTCCCCTCCTGAATAAACTTTCCCCGACCCTCTCGAGGAATGAAACAATCACGACGGGCGTTTTCTCGTAATCTTCGGCCTCTGGGGGCCCTACCCGGGCCTCGGGGCTGTCAGACATCGACTCGGGATGAAAAGCCAGTCCCGGGGAAGGGGTCGAAACCTTTGGGGTCGACGTCATGAAAAAATCATGACGTCAAGGGTCTGGGTTTGGCGCTCCGCGCATATTTATCGGATCTGCGCTGGACCCCCCTCCCTGGCGCGCGGAGCGCGCCAGGGGCGGCGCCGCCAGGGAGGGGGCCCCAACACAAATCCAATAAACCTGCGCAGAGCGCCACAAGTCTATGTTTATGGCGTTTTTCTTCTTCGGCACCTGCTCGTTCGTGCCGATGCTCGTCCAGCAGAACCTCGAGAAGGCGACGAGCCGGTCCACGAGGAACTGGGTGTGGTCGGCGTCCGGCGCGGTCCACGGGGGGTACCCCCGCGCCTCCTCCAGGGCGCTCCCGAGAGCGCCGACGATGCACTCGGCCACGTGCTCGGCGAGCCTGGAGGAAGGCACACCAGCACACAGTGGGGGTCGGTCCAGAAGAAACCTTCCGCAAGAAACCCAAGCCTGAGATCCCAGGGTGTCCACGGATTTCGTTGTGCGGGAACGTCACGCCTTCAAACGCGAGCCCATCCAAACCCAAGGAACCCAGGGCACCCTGAATCGGGGAACAAAAAGTGACATAAACATAAAACTCGGAGGTCCGCGCGAATTTCTCGGGTCGGCGCTGGACCCCCCTCCCTGGCGCGCGGAGCGCGCCAGGGGCGGCGCCGGGGGGCCCCAGCGCCGATCCGAGAAATCCGCGCGGACCTCAGAGTTTTTATGTTTATGCCACTTTTTGTTCCCCTACTAGGGGGCCACATGCGAACCCTAACCCCTACCCCCCACGATTTCCGAGGGGGGGGGTCACTTCGTTCGGGAGCTCCCGAGCCCAGTGAACCCCACCCTCCCCCTCAGAAATCGTGGGGGGTAGGGGTGGGGTTCGCATGTGCCCCCCGACCTCCTGAAGGCAAGCTGGCCGGGTGTCTCTCGGTATGGGCCTCCGCTGCAGGCACAGCCTCTGCCGGAGCTCCGCGCCCTCTGCTCGTGTGGATCGGCGCGCAGGGCCTCCCTCGCGGGCGCGCGCGGGCGTGCGCCAGAGGCGGCGCCTCGAGGCGCCGCCAGGGGTTATCAGGAGGGAAACAAACACACAGACACAATGAATCGTCGATTCCCCAGAAAATGTGAGAAAATATGGGAAGTGGGGGGGAAGACAAAAAACAAGAAAATATCGTAAAATATGGGCAATCCTATGATTTGTGTGTATTTATGTGTGTGTCCTGGGGCCCCTTCAGGTTAGGAGGCAACTGCTGGGAGGTTTTCGTCGGAAGGACTAAGGACGAAATCCACTCTTAGGGTGGAGGGCTCAGGGTAAAATCCATATTTTCTTTTGCACCTCGGAAATCAATCCGTCTTGTGCTTCATCTCCTGCAGACTCAAGCCTCGAAGACTGATCGAAAAGGCACTTCAGATTTCACCCTTTGCCCTCCACCCAAAGAAAATGCTCGGAAGCAGGACTGAGCCCCATTGGGGGGCTGTTGCGCCAGAATGGGCCTCGGATCGAGCGGGATCAAGCCGGATTGAGCGGGACTATAAGCGGGATTGAGCCGGATATTAAGCGGGATGAAGCCAGATGAAGCCGGACTTCGGACCAGGGCTAAATCAGCATTTGACCTCGCAGGAGTTGCATCCGAACGAGGGGGGTCCCAGCGCAGATCCAAGAAGTGGGCGCGAAGCCCCGAGAGCTTATGGGTTTGCTGCAAGTTCGTGCCGTGACGGCTTGCGCGCTGGCTGCTGGCGCCGCGTGGATCGTTCGGCCTTGCACGGTCGCGCGCTGCGAAGCGCCGGATCTTACGAGGCCGGCCGATTCTGGGCGAGTGGCGGCGTTCACCTTGAACGCCCGCGGCAGGGCCGCTGCAGCGCCAGCACGACAAGAGCCTGCCGTCTGCAGCGCTCTCTTCGGATTCTTCTTCATCCGGGCCTGCTCGACCCCGCGGCTGGCCGGTTGCGAACGGCCTTGTCCACCTGTCGAAGACTGACAGAACACCCCACAACAGACCGCCCTTCCGTGAAAGCTGCCGGGAGGGCTCCACGTGCGCAAGGCACCGCGTTCTGAGTGGACCCCACAGCGGGAAAACTTCTCAACGTCCATAAGAGGCTGAACGTCTCTGGCGAACCGCACGCCGATTACAACGAAACCGAACCGACTGGGGGCTGCACCGGCACACACGAAAGCCCAAGCCGGGTGAGTCCGCGCCGATTTCCTTGGTCGATGTGTCTGGGTGGGCGGTCCATCAAGCCCAGACCCCCGACATCATGACGTTTTCATCAGAAGCGGAACAACGACATAATCACAAACTTTTGGCGGTCAGCGCGTAATTCTTAGATCTGCGCTGGACCTCCGTCCCTGGCGCCGCCGGGAGGGACCCGGCACGGATCCTAGAAATCCGCGCGGAGTGCCAAAAATGTATGTTTATGGCGTTTCTTCGATTCACAGCGTCGCCCCCCAGAGGTCTCGACCCAGCCCGTGCCCTGGGACGGGTTTCTCATCCCGGGTCTAGTCTTGATTGCCGGTCCCAGAGCCCGGGAAGGGTCCAGAGAAGCTGGAAATAGCAAAATTATCCTGCGACGTACCCAACCCTTTCTACACAAGTGGCAATTGCAGTCAGGACCACAAAATACCGACGGAGATTTCGGCGCCATGGTATAGCGGTGATCTGCGTAGGACGTACCTCCGCTGAGCCTCCCAGAAGCCCATGCGCGCCAGGTGAGCCAAGCGCGCCAGGCGCGCCAGGTGCGCCAGGTGCGCCATGTGCGCCAGGTGCGCCAGGTGCGCCAGGTGCGCCAGGTGCGCCAGGTGCGCCAGGTGCGCCAGGCGCGCCAGGCGCGCCAGGTGCGCCAGATGCGCCAGGCGCGCCAGGTGCGCCAAGTGTGCGCCAGGTGTGCGCCAGGTGTGCGCCCGGTGTGCCAGGTGCGCCAGGTGCGCCCAGCGCGCCAGGTGTGGCAGGTGCGCCAGGTGCGCCAGGTACGCCAGGTGCGCCAGGCGCGCCAGGCGCGCCAGGTGCGCCAGGTGCGCCAGTCGCGCCAGGCGCGCCAGGTGCGCCAGGTGCGCCAGGTGCGCCCAGCGCGCCAGGTGCGCCAGGTGCGCCAGGCGCGCCAAGTGAGCCAAGTGCGCCAGGTGTGCGCCAGGTGTGCGCCAGGTGCGCCTAGCGCGCCAGGTGCGCCAGGTGCGCCGGGTGCGCCAGGTGCGCCAGGTGCGCCAGGCGCGCCAAGTGAGCCAGGTGCGCCGGGTGCGCCAGGTGCGCCAGGCGCGCCAGGCGCGCCAGGTGCGCCAGATGCGCCAGGTGCGCCAGGTGTGCGCCAGGTGCGCGCCAGGCGCGCCAGGTGCGCCAGGTGCGCCAGTTGCGCCAGGCGCGCCAGTTGCGCCAGTTGCGCCATGCGCGCCAGGTGCGCCAGGTGCGCCAGGTGTGCCAGGTGCGTCAGGTGCGCCCAGCGCGCCAGGTGCACCAGGTGCGCGCCAGGTGCTCCCAGCGCGCCAGGTGCGCCAGGTGCGCCCAGCGCGTCAGGTGCGCGCCAGGTGCGCGCCAGGTGCGCGCCAGGCGCGCGCCAGGTGCGCCAGTTGCGCCAGGTGTGCGCCACGTGTGCGCCAGGTGCGCGCCAGGTGCGCCAGTTGCGCCAGGTGTGCCAGGTGCGCCAGTTGCGCCAGGCGCGCCAAGTGAGCCAGGTGCGCCATGTGCGCCAGGTGCGACAGGTGCGCCAGTGCGCCAGGTGCGCCAGGTGCGACAGGCGCGCCAGGTGCGCCAGGTCTGCGCTAGGTGTGGCAGGTGCGCCAGGTGCGCCCAGCGCGCCAGGTGCGCCAGGTGCGCCAGATGCACCAGGTGTGCCAGGTGTGCGCCAGGTGCGCGCCAGGTGCGCCAGGTGCGCCAGTCGCACCAGGCGCGCCAGCGCGCGCCAGGTGCGCCAGGTGCGCCACGTGCGTCAGGTGCGTCAGGTGCGCCCAGCGCGCCAGGTGCGCGCCAGGTGCGCGCCAGGTGCGCGCCAGGTGTGCGCCAGGTGCGCGCCGGGTGCGCGCCAGGTGCCCGCCAGGTGCGCCAGGTGCATCAGGCGCGCCAGGCGCGCCAGGTGCGGCAGGTGCGGCAGGTGCGTCAGGTGCGCCAGGTGCGCGCCAGGTGCGCCCAGCGCGTCAGGTGCGTCAGGTGCGCCCAGCGCGCCAGGTGCGCGCCAGGTGCGCCAGGTGCGCGCCAGGTGCGCCAAGGGGACAGGGAGGCCTCAAAGTGGTCTGCGTAAGACGTACCTCCGCTGGACCTCCCAGGAACCCACGAAAGTTGCGACAGTTGCGCAGATCGCAGCCCCCCCAAAGTGGTCTGCGTAAGACGTACCTCCGCTGGGCCTCCCAGGAACCCACGAAAGTGGCGACAGTTGCGCAGATCGCAGCCCCGCAGGGGACAGGGAGGCCTCAAAGTGGTCTGCGTAAGACATACCTCCGCTGGGCCTCCCAGGAACCCACGCAAATGGCGACAGTTGCGCAGATCGCAGCCCCCCCAGGGGACAGGGAGGCCTCAAAGTGGTCTGCGTAAGACGTACCTCCGCTGGGCCTCCCAGGAACCCACGAAAGTGGCGACAGTTGCGCAGATCGCAGCCCCGCAGGGGACAGGGAGGCCTCAAAGTGGTCTGCGTAAGACGTACCTCCGCTGGGCCTCCCAGGAGCCCACGAAGTGGCGACAGTTGCGCAGATCGCAGCCCCGCAGGGCACCGCGAACACAGGAGAGAAGAAGGAGGAGAGGGCGGGAGGTGGATACCACAGTGCTCTATTCAAAACGAGTACCCAACACAGGGAGGGTTGGGAACAAAAACAACTTTCGTCGTGTTCTTGTGCACGACTCGAGGGGGTCTGGGTGGGCGGTCCATCAATAATTACCCGAACCTGCGAGCTCACCAGCTGGGAGAGCTCTGGCTGGGAGTGCAGGGTCGCGGCGAAGGCCGGCTCGAGCAGGACGTCCGTCAGCAGGCGGAAGGGCCTGGTCGGGGCGCTGAGGATGAGCTCCTCCCCAGCCGCGTGAAGCGAGATAGCGCAGAGCACGCTCGGAACACCCGAGAGCCATTCCACGTGCAGCATCGTCTCCTTGTCGCGGAGGGGCAAACAATCATGAACGTAAACTTTCGGAGTTGGATCGGCACCAGAGGCGCCGCCAAGGGGGTCCAATGCTGATCCAAGAAACCCGCGCGGGCTTCCAAGAAATGATGCTCAGGTCGGGCGTGTCCCCCTACAGGCGAATTTTGGACGAAAAATATCAGAAAGAGGCAACAAAACATGCAAACGTAGTCAAACCAGCGTCCCTGGACTGTTTTACTATTCTTGAATCTGCCTCCTGTAGGGGGACGTGCCCGATTTAAATAATGCTCATGCCGAACCGCTCATCGGGAGCGGCCAAGAGGTGGGTGTCCAAGAGGGGGGTGTGCAAATCATGACCGGCAGCATGTGCGCGGCCCAGCGGGGGGGCCAGGGACGTAATAAAACAAAAAGAGGCGCCATGAGATCTGGGGAAAAATCATACCCCCCGCCATGATATCCACCCCCCCCTAATCATCACCCCCCTCTTTTCCGCCCCCGAGCTCAGCATCGAGCCGAGGATCCAGCTCGGGTCGGGCCGTGCGGCGGCTCGGGCCGCCTCGGCACCGAGCCGGGGCGCCGAGGCGCAGATCGGTCGCGCCCAGGTGCACAGCAGCCCCGTGCAGGCAATCGGGGCGCAGCGGATCGCCGCAGCAGCGGAGTCGAACTGGGTCGAGCGAGCCGAAGTGGATAAGTATCGAATCGGGTCGATCGGATCGCAGCAGGCCCTGCCTTGTTCAGGGCACCGATGATGCCGGGCAGCACGCCGTTCTCGATGAGCTGTGGCACTCTCGACGGGTCGTCGTTGATGAGGCTCGACACTATCTCGAACACGCTGCCGAAGACGCTGAGCCCGATCTTCCTCGGCTGCTCCAGCGCCTTCTTCAAGATCTCCATCAGGGCGCCTTGCAATATCTTCGAGAGCTCAGCCTGCACAACGTCTGGGCTGTGGAGGGCGGCCTATCAGTGGTTTCGGAAACGACAAGGCCGTTTATTTAGACTGTTTCCGAGAACTTGATCCTGATAACGAGAACGGTAGGCAACAGTTTGTCGAAACTGACCACACTGATACACACACACACACATATATATATATATGTATGCGTACATATATATACATATATATATATATATATATGTATACGGCTGGCGACGGAGCCGAACAACAAACAGAGCCCGAACCAGGAAGCCAACGGCAAGGCGACATCGGCAATACAGCTGCCCCGTCGTGTCCCCAAGAGCCACGAGACGAGGCCTGGATGTTCTTCAGCAGCTGCTGGCAGACCTTGCGGCGCGAGGTCACCTCCCCCAGGAGGCGCCAGTACTCGGCCCTCTCGGCCACCAGGGCCTCCCCGCCGGGGGGCGCCCGCTCGCAGACGTCCTCCTCGCCGCCCACGGACAGCAGCCTGTCCACCTCGTAGCCGAGGCGGGTCGAGAAGGCGGTGAGGGCCTGGGCGGAAGGCACAGCTGCACAGACAGCAACTTCCAGGGCTCCGCGCGGAGTTTTCCCGGATGGGCGCGCGGGGCCTCCCCCTCCCCGGTGCGCGAGAGGCGCACCGGGGGCGGCGCCTGGAGGCGCCGCCTGGGTGGCCGATACGAGAAACCCCGCACGGAAGTTGCGGAAGTTTGTGTGTGTGTGTGTGTGTGTGTGTGTGTGTGTATGTGTGTAGGTGTGTGTGTGTGTGTGCGTGTGTGCGTGTGTGCGTGTGTGCGTGTGTGCGTGTGTGCGTGTGTGCGTGTGTGCGTGTGTGCGTGTGTGTGTGTGTGTGCGTGTGCGTGTGCGTGTGCGTGTGCGTGTGCGTGTGCGTGTGCGTGCGTGTGTGTGTGTGTGTGTGTGTGTGCGTGTGTGTGTGTGTGTGTGCCGTCTTTGTTTCTCGAGGGCCTGAAGGTCCCGGAAGATCAGGAGCGCCGTGGAGCGGGAGACCTCAGCCGGGGGGGGGGGGGCCAACACAACCTCTGGCGTTTTCGTGCCGTTTTGACGCCGAAGCGTTTTGAAAGAGAGCGTCCGAGCCAAAACAGCGCTTTCGCGCAAAACCGAGGTCGCGGTGTACTGGCTAATGGTGGGAACTCGAATTAAAGAAAACATAATGAAACCGACGAGGAAACAACGATCCACGAGATTGCCTCAACAACGTGTCGGTTGCCCCATGACCTCCACTGTGAGCTCCAGGCACCGCAGCGCGGCGACGACGACTGGAAGCGACTGTACGTCCTTCTTCTGCAGCTGCTCGAGCATGGCCATGACCATGCTGGCGTGCCCCAGCTGCGGCTGCGCGGCCGTGGCCGTGGTGGACTGGTACAAGTCCATGGCCGCCAAAAGTACCCTATGATGGTCCTTACCACTCGGTGGGCATTGGAAGACGGGAAGCGTTTTCTCCAGCCGTTCCGTTTTTCCGTTCGTTTCCCCGGTTCCGTCGCCGTGTCTTTCCTTCCGCGTCTGGTTCCACTCCAATCCTGGCGTCGCGTTTTGTTTCCCTGCCATTGGGCAGCTGCTGGTGCTGTGCCATTCTCGCAATCATGGAACAGGAAACAGCGGCGTAAACATAGACTGTTTTGGCGCTCCGCGCGGATTTTTCTGGAATCTGCGCTGAGCCCCCCCTCCCCTGGCGCGCTCCCCGCGCCAAGAACGCGGCGCGGGGCCGTAGGCGACCTGAGGAGGAGGAGGGGGAGGAGGAGGAGGAGGAGGAGGAGGAGGAGGAGGAGGAGGAGGAGGAGGACGAGGAGGAGGGACGAGGGGGAGGAGGAGGAGAGGGAGGAGGAGGGGGAGGAGGAGGCGCCGCGTTTCTTTTTTCCTTCGAGTTCTCGCAATCACGAGCCAGTTCCTTGGACACGGTAATCCAAGGAGCAGGCCCGCCGCGCCGCTTCGCGGGCCCGCCGAGGAGGTCCTCGGCCCGCGCGGAGGGCGGCTCCTCCACGAGCAGGCCGCGCACGGCGCAGGACAGGATGCCGTGGGGAACCGAGACGCCGAGCAGCTGCGCAAACTGCCGGGACTCCATGCGCGTCCTCCCGAACCTCGAGTCCAAGATCATGCCCGAAGTCCTCAGGGCCACGATAAAGAGGCATAAACGTAAGCGTTTGGAGGTCCGCGCGGACTTCTTGCACCTGCGCTGGGCCCCCCTCCCTGGCGCGCGGAGCGCGCCAGGGGCGGCGCCGGAGGCGCCGCGGGGGGGGCCCAGCGCGGATCCAAGAAATCCGCGCGGAGCGCCAAAAGTTTCTGTTTATGCTTAGGTTGGGCATGTCCTCCTACTGGCGGATTTTGGACGAAGTGTAAGCAGTTGCCAAACATATTCAACACGAGTCGAAAATAGCAGAAGAATCGTCCCCAGAATATTGTTCTGGACTAGTTCCGGATACTCCTCCCGTAGAGGGGCATGCGGCATGCCCGACTTGAGATTGTGCCGTCTTCTGTTCTCCGGGTCCTCAGGACGGCCACGGCGGCCTCCTGGCCGATGCCGGGCAAGCACTGCACCAGGCCCACGAGCTCCGCGAAGAGCCCCGGCCTCGCGCGCAGGTGCCGGTGCAGCACCTCGGTGCCGTGGTGGCGCACCGTGTCGCAGAGGGCGTAGAGGGAGATGGCCACCGCCTCTGATGGGCCTGTTTGCCACCACCACCACCACCACAAGTTGAAGGGGGAGGGGGTCCTCCTCCTCTTCCTCCTCCTCCTCGTCCTCCTCCTCCTCCTCCTTCCCACCCGCTCCAACTTATGGCGGTGGTGGTGGGAAACAGGCCCATCAGCCTCGCGCCACCCCTCGAGGCTGCGCGCGTGGCACCAGAAGCGGAGCTGCAGGCGCAGGGAGTCCAGGTGCGCTGGGGGCACCCGGCCCGCCGCCACGAGCTCCTGTGAGCGAGGGGGGGCAGCACGTGGGGGGGGGGGGGGGGGGGCAGCACAGGGGAACACCGAGCTGGAATGGGCGCTAGATTTGGGTCGGGCGTGTCCCCCTACAGGCGGATTTTGGACGAGAGATGAAAAATTGTCCAGACATATTCAAACATGCCTGAACAGAAAACTGGTCGAAAATTCCTCCGCCGACTATGTTTTTACTATTCTTGAATATTCCTCCTGTAGAGGGACACGCCCGACTTAACGCTAGATCGCCGAGAGGCTCCCGAGGGCGAATCCCCACGGCCCTGGGCGGTGCGGGCCGTCGGAGATCGGCGATCGAGAGGCGATCGGGGGCCAGTGCATCCCCCCCCCCTGCGCCTGTGCTCTCCTCCTCCTCCTCCTCCTCCTCCTCCTCCTCCTCCTCCTCCTCCTCCTCCTCTTCCTGCCCAGCGTTGCCCCCGATCCTGCACGAGCTCCTGGGGCCCCGCGGAAGCGCTCGAGGCCGGCAGCGAGATCACCGCGAGCCCTGGGGTGGACTCCGACGCGCAGGGAACCTCGGAGCAGCGCGCGGTGCGAGGACGGCGGCTCGACATCAGTCCCCGGGCCCCTCCCGGGGGCCGAAACGCACCACTCATCCGAGCTGCGTCCAGGCGTGGCGACGAGGGCCCCCCCTGAAGGCCAGGTGCCATTACAGTCGGGGCGTTGACCTAAGGAACCCTAACTAAGGAGCGAGGCCCCTATTTTCCATAAGTTAAACTTCGATTTCCGATCGAAAACATAAGGAAAACCCGAGGCAAGCTGCGAAACAATTAAGGAACACAGAGCCCCTCCCCAACGAAAAGGGTTTCTTCTTCAGCGCCCCGACTGTATCTCAACTCGCCCTCCTCTGAGAACCTCGTACAAGAAGTCCCTGGGCGGACAACCATCGACGCAAATGTCGCGGAGACTTGCTGGCCAGCTGATGCCGCCGGCAAGAACTTCGAGCCGCCGCTCCGCCGCGACGCTGCGGAAGCCCTGCAGCTGGCGACCCGGAATGCAGACCGACAGGCAGCGCACGGCACCCAGCACGACGCGCATGTCCGCATCCTCCAGCAGATCGCCCAGGCGGTCGCCGGAGCAGAACATGGACTGGATCTCCGGATCCGCCACCGTGCCTCTGGGCCCAGAGCAGGCGTGCCCTCAGGTCCTCAGGTCCTTTGCCCGGTCCTCTACGCCTGCAGTCGGGGCCTTGACCTAAGGAGCCCAAAATAAGGAGCGAGGCCCCTTTTTTCCATGAGTTAAACTTCGATTTCCGATCGACAACAGAAGGAAAACCTGAGGCAAGCTGCGAAACACTTAAGGAACGCGGAGCCCCTCCCCAACGAAAAGGGTTCCTTCTTCAGGGCCCCGACTGTAAATCCTCACTCCTGAGGATTCCATTGAAAGGGCCCCGAGCACACCTTGCCACACTTCCTGGGGCTCGGCGCGGCGGCGCGCGGCTCGGCGCTCGACTTTTGTGTGCGGAGCCATGCAAGGGCCCCACGACAGGCCAAGAGTGCTCCGGGCACTGGCGCGATGGGTCGAAGGTCACTGGATCCTCCGCCGCCTCCTCCTCCTCCGCCTCCTCCGCCTCCTCCTCTTCCTCCGCCTCCTCCTCTTCCTCCTGATCTGCCCCGCCATCCTCCCCAAGTGTTCCACGCAGGGTTTCCACGACGGCCTGGGGAACACCCGGCCCAACAGCCTGGCAGAGCCCTTGCCACCACGCTCGGCCACATGGGGCGACTCCAGGACCCAGACCCCCCGACGCCATGATTCTTTCATGACGTCGGCCCCCAGAGGTCTTGACCCCTTCCCCGGGACCCGCTCTTCATCCCGAGTCGCTTTTCGACGGTCCCGAGGCCCGGGAAGGGCCCCCAGGGGCCGAAAATGGGGAAAACCTCCCGTCGCGACTTCTTCCCGGTGCTCGAGAGGGGGGCGCTGGGCACGAGGCGGGGGGCGCGCGGCGACTCGCCGCAGGCGTCCTCGCTAGTGCAGGAGCAGATCGTGCAGCACCCTCAGCACCTCGCAGGCCAGCCCGGCGTCGGCGGCGGCCCCGGGGGCCCCGGCGGCCCCGGGGCCGCTCCGCGCCGCCAGGACGTCGTCGAAGCGGTCGAGCAGGGCCCGCCACTGCGGGCCCACGGCGCGCTCCCAGGGCAGGCCCGCGGGCAGCTGCCGCAGCTTCTCGGCCAGCTGCTCCTGCCGGCGGTTCAGAGACCCAGACCTCCGACGCATTTTTAAAATCAAGACGGAGGTTTTTCTGGGTTTTCGGCCTCGGGCGGCCCTCGCCGGGCCCCGGGACCGTCAAAAAACGACTCAAGACGAAAAGCCGGTCCTGGGGAATGGGTCGAGATTTCCGGGGACCTCGTATTGAAACCATCACGACGTCGGATCTCTGGGGAGGGGGTTCCTTGAGGTATGGGGTCCGAGAAGGACGAGAGGCCTCCAACAGCGCAAATCTACCCCTGGACCCCTTCCTCCCATCCTTCGGGCCCCAGGCCTTGGGACCCCCATCTTTGAACCACCGCTCCTGCGGGCACTGGGCCAGCTCGGCCAGGGCCCGCCCCTGCGAGGGAAACAGACTCTACTCACCGAAGCGCTTTGTCCGGCGCTGCACCGACGCTTGCACAGGAAAGGGGATCCTGGTGTACACGGGACCCTGGTGTATACCTGCTTCGCTGTTTCCCTGGGAGCAGGAAAAAAGTATACACACCACACCACCCCGACGTCGCCCCCGACCCTCAAAAAGTCCTGGGATGGAGAGACAGCACCCGTACATGCTTCCGTTTCCGGCCTGCGAGGCCGGAGGCTGCGGTGAGAGGGCCGAGGGTGGGGCCTCGCCGTGCACCATATTCTGATGGGCCTGTTTTCCACCACCACCACCACCACCACCACGATAAGTTGAAGGGGGCAAGGAGGTGGAGGACGAGGAGGAGGATTAGGATGAAGAGGAGGAGGAGGAGGAGGACGAGGAGGAGGAGGAGGAGTAGGATGAAGAGGAGGAGGAGTAGGATGAAGAGGAGGAGGAGGAGGAGGAGGAGGAGGAGGAGGAGGAGGAGGACTCCCCTCCCCCTCCAACTTATGGTGGTGGTGGTGGTGGAAAACAGGCCCATCATATTCTGCAGCGGGCAGCGGGCCAGCCGGCGGCGAGCTCCAGCGCGGCGCCCTCTGGGAGGGGGAAGCTGGGCCGCCCGCGGGGTGCGGGGACTATATCCGCCCCCGCGAGGAGGGGGAGCGAGGAGGACGGAGGATCGAGGAGGGGGGGCGAGGAGGACGGGGGATCGAGGAGGACGGGGGATCGAGGGGGGGTCGAGGAGGAAGGGGGTCGAGGAGGAGGGGCATCGAGGAGGAGGGGGGGGGATCGAGGAGGAGGGGGGGGGGATTGAGGGCGATCGGGGAGGGGCCCTGGCACGCTGCGGCTTGTCAGAGGGTCTGGCGGTGGTCTGGTATGGCGGGGCGACTGAGAAACACAGCGCGCCCAGGCCCCCTCGCGAGCGATGAAAACATCGTATAACGGGAGGCTCTTCGCCCTGCTCGGCCTCTGGGGGCCCTTCCCGGGCCTCGGGGCCGTCAAACAACGATGCGGGATGAAAAGCTGGTCCCGGGGAAGGGGTCGAGACCTCGGGGGGTCGACGTCACGAAAAAACCATGACGTCTCAAGGAAGGCGGGGCGAATACGAAAAAAAACAGCTTGCGGAAGCACAAACCTCTCTGGAGGTCCACAGCTCTTTGTGCTGGCGCTGCCTTGTGCTCCTCGGCATCTCCCCCCCTCCTGCCCAATTCACGGGCGGGGTCGAGAGACGGAGGAGGAGAAGGAGGAGGAGGAGGAGGAGGAGGAGGAGGAAGAGGAGGAGGAGGAGGTGGAGGAGGGGGAGGAGGCGGAGGAGGAGGAGGCGGAGGAGGAGGAGGAGGACGCCCACCCTCCCACGGGCCCAGGCCGCCCCAAGAAGGCCTCCAACTCCCAGACGACCTCTCAACGACCCGACCAGACGGCCCCAGTAATTGCCAGCCCGCAGAGGCCCAGCGACCCCCACATAGGAGCCTCCCAGATGAGTTCGGGGTCGGAGGCTCGCGCCGCATCGCCAAGTGCATCGGCGATGCGTCGGCGATACGCCGCCGATGCGCCGCCGACGCATCGGCGACGTCGGCGATGAGGGAAGCGGGCTCCGCATCGCCGCCGCATCGCCGACGCATCGGCGATGCGGCGCGATCCTCCGACCCCATCTACTCCCACGCCCTCTGGGAAGCCTAGACCTAGGTCGGGCATGTCCCCCTACAGGGGGATTTTGCACGAAAAATAAAAAATCCGCAGGCCACTTCCGGGGCCACCAGGCTGTAGGCCGGGAGTGGGCTGCTCCCTGTACCAGTTGCAGCTTCCAGTTTCCACTGTTACAGTTCTGCTTCTTGCTGCTTACTCTTCCTTGTTGATGAACGCGCGAGGGAGGGGGAGCCCAAACCAGCTGAACTACCACGCCCTGGGAGGGTTCTCAGAATTTCTGGGAAAGTAAAAATTGGCACCCATCATGCTGATCCGCAGGGTCAGGGTCCAAAACACACAAGGGATTTGCCACATTTCTAAAATCTGGTGGCACCCCTCACGCAGATCCGTAGGGTCAGGGTCCAAAAACACAAGGGATTTGCCACATTTCTGAAATTCGGTGGCACCCCTCACGCAGATCCATAGGGTCAGGGTCCAAAAACAAAAGGGATTTGTCACATTTCTGAAAGTCGGTGGTACCCCTCACGCAGGGTCAGGGTTCAAAAGCACAAGGGATTTGCCACATGTCTGCAAGTCGGTAGCACCCCTCACGCAGATCCGTAGGGTCAGGGTCTAAAACACAAGGGAGTTGCTACATTTCTGAAATTCGGTGGCACCCCTCACGTAAATCCGCAGGGTCACGACGTCTTACCAACCGCCAGGTGTTGTAACCCCTCTGGTGATCAATTGGTTTTGCTCATTACGAGTCGGCCTCGCATGACGTTCCGATACTGCTCCACGACAGCGCCCAGACCTCATGACATAGCTCGTGCATAGCGCATTCTCCGAGAGAGGGGGCCAGCGGCAGGGGGCGAAGCCCTTACGGATAGTCCAATACTACTCCAAAATTGTCAATCATATGTTTGAAAATCGTCCCCAGACTATTTTTTGACCATTTTGGAATACTCATCCTGTGGAGGGACACCCCCGACTTAAGCCGAGACCCCGACGGCATGTGGCCCGAAAGGGCCCAGAGTGGCACCCAATGGGGCGCAACCGGAGGAGGCATGCACGCGCGAGGCCCCGGGGAGGCGAAGCGCCAAAGCGAGAGACCACACCAGCGGATGCGTGCGCTCTCTGCCCGCTCTCCGCTCGAACGCACCGGTTTCAAGCCGCACGCGGGTTGCCTCCTTCGGGGCAGGCAGACGTCGTCGGGCTCATCCTCCGGCTGAGGGTTATGTTGCTCCCATCGTACTTAAGGACCACATCCTGGGAATAGTTTCGAGCACTGTCGAACGAGTGTCGGACGAGTGTCTCCCAGGGCCCGACACGTGAAAACCCTCGAGTTTCGGTACTTTCCTGGTGCTCGAACTTCTTTCTGGTGATCAAGGCTACAGCAGGTTGGAACATCATAAGTTCATAAGCTGGGGGGGGGGGGGGGGGCGACGGCGGGGCCTGACCAGGGGGGCCGGGCGGGGCGCGAGGCCCATGGTGGGGGCCCAGGGGGCGCCCGGCGGAGCCCGGCCGACGGAGGGGGGGGGGGGTCACGGCGCCGATGGGGGCCTGCGAGGGGGGGGAGGGGCTACAGGGCCTCCCTGCAGCCACGTGGGCCGCCGGCGACGCTGGCCGCCAGGGGCTGTGCAGAGGCGCGCCAGAAGAGGAAGGCGCCCGCGACGGGCTGCGGGCGCCTGATGCTCGTGTTCGTTTCAACTTGTGGAAATCGGCGCCTGCGGCGCATTGCAAAGTCCGGCTTGCAAGCATTGGCGCCTGCGGGCGGCATGCGATTGAAATCGCAACAAACAATGAGTGCCTGCCGCGGGCTTGCCACTTGTCGTTGGCCCGTCAGTCCTATCCGCGTTTGCGGGGGTTTGCTTGCCTCCGACGCCATCTACTCTTGGACTAATGTTACAAGGCCCCTGAAAGCCTCACGGCGGCCCCATAGGACCTTACTCAGCCCCGAAGACAGCCTGCGAGCCCCGCAAGACGGCCCGGATCGTCGCAAGAGAGCTTCAAGACTGGAACAAACCGTCCTGAGATGTCTCCTCAAAACTGCTGCGGGAAAGCTGGCGCCGAAACGGCCACACGACAACCAAAAGCCCCCGACAAGCCCGCCCAAAGACCCTCAAGGCGTCCACAGGCGGCCCCTGGGATCCACCAAATGAGTTCCCAAGAAGCTCGTAACATGCATTCAAGAGGGGAGATGGAGGATGAAGAGGATGATGAGGAGGAAAGATGACGAAACGCATCGTAGTTATGACAAGGAGGGGGTGTTGCAGACCCGCGCCGGCACTGACGCGGGGCGGACCCAGGCAGACTCCTCCTCTTCCTCCTCCTCCTCCTCCTCCTCCTCCTCCTCCTCCTGCTGCTGCTGCTGCTGCTGCTGCTGCTCCTCTTCCTCCTCCTCCTCCTCCTCCCCTCCTCCTCCTGCTGCTGCTGCTCCTCTCCTCCCTCCTCCCTCCTCCTCCTCCTCCTCCTGCTGCGCTGCTGCTGCTGCTGCTGCTGCTGCCCTCCTCCTCCTCCTCCTCCTCCTCCTCCTCCTCCTCCTCCTCCTCCTCCTCCCCGCCTCCCTCCTCCTCCTCCTCCCTGCTGCTGCTGCTGCTGCTGCTGCTGCCCTGGACCGGAGCGGCGGCGGAGGCCACCGCGGGCGGACCCTGTGCGGGTGGGCCACCGAATGCCCAGGCCGGGCAGGAGGAGGAGGAGGAGGAGGAGGAGGAGGAGGAGGAGGAGGAGGAGGAGAAGATGGAGATGGAGGAGGAGGAGGAGGAGGAGGAGGAGGAGGAGGAGGAGGAGGAGGAGGAGGAGGAGGAGGAGGAGGTGAGGAGGAGGAGGAGGAGAGCCCAAGCGCCTCCAGCGGTGGCCCGCCCTACGGGCGCCTCATCCCGGCGCGCGGCCTGTTGGGCCGCGGGCGTCAGGGCGGGGCGCAGGGGGCCCTCCGGAGCCAGCCTGGGGCCAACAGCTATAATTACGGGCCCGCTCGTCGGCCGACCGGGCAAGCAGGGGA